CTTGTAAGTTGTATATGTTATATCTGTGTATTCTACTTGGCTGTGTGCTTCATAAAAGAGGGGGGGGGCGTCTTGAACATAGTAAATAGCCATAACGTTTGAACGGTAAGTACTAGGGCTTTCGTATTTCAAATATGTAATCCTTGTGAAAAGAACTTTTATTGGATACGACGAACTTTGACCCTTTGACCTAGACCTTGGAGAACACATGTGTACATCTGAATCTTTTTTTCTGTTTCGTTTCTATGGCAACCGTGAGCGACTCATTACAATTATTTTGAAAGTAGAAATCACTTTGACACATTGCAAGGAATAAACATTGAAAGTTTCAAAACGATTGCCTGAGTAGTTATTGAGAAAATCGAAATTAAAGAATTTTAACTTTCACCTGGTTTCCATGGCAATAATCGATTATATGAAAATTTTAAATACGAGTTGCAGAACTACAGATACTAATCATTAAAATAAGAAAAGTTTCATGACGAACGTTTAAGGGACCAGAGAGAACACTCTCGGACAAAATTTGTCGCTTTTTACAGGTTTCCATGGCAACGGTAGACATATTGGAACTGAACGACCTCACTGCACAACTACAACCAGTGATCGTCCTTGAAGGAAAGTTTCAGGAAGATTGTCCCAGCCATCTCCGAGAAACAGCCTGGATAAAAAAAACATGCGTACAATATCAATATGTCGTCCCCGACTTCGTTCGGGGCGACATAATAACTCCTGAATTTTTCTCATCAATAACTCCTGAATTTTCCCCTTCAATTCGAGCATTTCTGCATTGCAGAGAGCTGATGTGTGTTATGAGATAATAAATCATGTGTGAACTTTCTCAGTTTAGCGGAATCATGAACATTTTCGGCGAGATGAATGTTTTGTATACAGTGGTGATCAAGGCTTTGCGAACCATCAGGAGCGGATCAAAGAATTTATGAATGAATAAAAACTATGGAAATGACGTACCAATTTTTTAATTGATACTTGCACTATCTAATGAAATGAATAATATACAAGTGATAGATATACAAGAAAACGCGAAATGATAATAAATGCAGCTGACAATCGTTATTTTTTTTTATATAGATAAAATAAAATATTTATAAATTCAAGAGACAAAACAGAAGGAGAATGAATGATGGCAAAATATCACATGACGGGAACTGAATTTTATGAATGAAGATTTTAAAAAGTTACTTGTAAGTTGTATATGTTATATCTGTGTATTCTACTTGGCTGTGTGCTTCATAAAAAGAGGGGGGGGGCGTCTTGAACATAGTAAATAGCCATAACGTTTGAACGGTAAGTACTAGGGCTTTCGTATTTCAAATATGTAATCCTTGTGAAAAGAACTTTTATTGGATACGACGAACTTTGACCCTTTGACCTAGACCTTGGAGAACACATGTGTACATCTGAATCTTTTTTTCTGTTTCGTTTCTATGGCAACCGTGAGCGACTCATTACAATTATTTTGAAAGTAGAAATCACTTTGACACATTGCAAGGAATAAACATTGAAAGTTTCAAAACGATTGCCTGAGTAGTTATTGAGAAAATCGAAATTAAAGAATTTTAACTTTCACCTGGTTTCCATGGCAATAATCGATTATATGAAAATTTTAAATACGAGTTGCAGAACTACAGATACTAATCATTAAAATAAGAAAAGTTTCATGACGAACGTTTAAGGGACCAGAGAGAACACTCTCGGACAAAATTTGTCGCTTTTTACAGGTTTCCATGGCAACGGTAGACATATTGGAACTGAACGACCTCACTGCACAACTACAACCAGTGATCGTCCTTGAAGGAAAGTTTCAGGAAGATTGTCCCAGCCATCTCCGAGAAACAGCCTGGATAAAAAAAACATGCGTACAATATCAATATGTCGTCCCCGACTTCGTTCGGGGCGACATAATAACTAGGGCTAATTGTAACGGGGACCGTTACAGATGTTCCCCAAACGCTCCCCAACTCCCTTTTGGTGCCATTTTCCTTGTTAGCGCATTAAATAAGACACACTTTAAGCAATTTAGACTTAAACAACGTTTTCCCAAAAGAATACAAAAAATATTTAAATTTAGCATTGCACGCGTGCTCATTTGAATGCATGTGCGTAATGACCATATCATCTTGTCTACACTATTTATATATTTTAATATGCTTCACATCAAATCAATTAATCCAGAACTCTTTTAAGCGTATTTTTAATATTACTCATTTCACGTGCACGCACGTGCATGAGGACTATACCTTCTTGTAGAAGTCTATTATGTCTGTCTATATTCTAAATCCCATCGTGTTCGGTTGAAAAACAAGGGAGTTATAGCCATTTACAGTTTTAGCCAATAAGATTGCATCGCACGTGCATGCGCGTGTTTTCACAACAATTGTTATATATCATATTGTAGTACATGCTAAAGTATGTATATATTTTAGATTTCATAGCATTTCGTCAAAAAAAAGAAAAGATATTGAGATTTTTGTTTCAGCCAATCAGAACGAAGCGCACGTGCACGTTCGTGCAAGTATGTGCATGATGACCATACCTTCTTGTAGGAGTCCATTATATCTGTCTATGTTCTAAATCCCATCCAGTTGGGGTGAAAAACAAGGGAGTTATAGCCATTTAAAGTTTAAGCCAATCAGATTGCAGCGCATGCGCATGCGCGTATTTTCAAGATAATTGTTATATATCATATTATAGAACATCCTAAAGTATGCTTATATTTTAAATTTCATAGCATTTCGTCATAAAACAGAAAAGATATAGAGATTTTTGTTTCAGCCAATCAGAGCGAAGCGCACATGCATGCGCGTGAGTTCGTGCTAATTTGACAGTGTCATATCATCTACACTATTAATATATCTTTATATAATGAGTTTCAAATCATTCAATTAAAAAATATATAAGTTATAGCTATATTAAGTATATCGGTCATTTCACTCATATCACGCGCACGCACGTGCATGCGTATGCGCGCAAAATGACCTTCGTTCCGCACATCTACACTACACACCTATTAACCCTAAAAAGGTTTTAGCTTAGTTGGGTGAACAGTTTCTGAGAACACTCGCGGACAAAAAAGTACCGGAGAAGAAATAAGAAGAAAAAAGAATAATAATAACTAGAAAGTCTGCTATTGCAAGCAATAGCATATGTCGCCCCGTACTGGACAAGACTTTCATTTTTATCATCACTAAAACAATGGTCCATTAGCTAAGCTTGGACAACCATCGAGTCGTATCAGTTCTTTCCGTTGGAAACGGAAGACCTTAATTGGGTAAAGAAAGTAGTGCAGGAAAAAAATACAAGTTCCTAAATTTAGAGACTTGCATAAAAGAAATTGGGCAGATGTACTGAACTGAGCCTCATACTTGTTAATTGGCATTATCTTTCCTACTAAAAAAGCTTGGCAAATGTAATTTATTAAGAAGATCAGCCGAATTATTTTGTGTATTATAACTCGAGAGAGAACTCTGAAATTTCCCTACTTTCACTTTCATTTTTAGAGGTTCTGCCGGAAAACGGATCTGACATGCCACCTTCAATTCGAGCATTTCTGCATTGCACAGGACTGATCTTTGTTATGAGATGATAAATCATGTGTAAACTTTCTCAGTTTAGCGGAATCATGAACATTTTCGGCGCTATGAATGTTTTGTTTACAGTAGTGATCAAGGCTTCGGGCACCTATAGGAGCGGATCCAAGGATTTATGAATGAATAAAAAAACTATGGAAATAACGTACCAATTTTCTAATTTATACTTGCACTATCTAATGAAATTAATAATATACAAGTAATAGATATACAAGAAAACGCGAAATGCTAATAAATGCAGCTGACAATCGTTATTTTTTATATAGATAAAATAAAATAATTATAAAATCTAGAGACAAGACAGAAGAAGAATGAATGTTGGCAAACTATCAAATCACATCAGGAGAACTGAATTTTATGAATGAAACATTCAAAACGTTACTTGTAAGTTGTGTATGTTATATCTGTGTATTCTACCTGGCAGTGCGCTTCAAAAGGGGGGGGGGGTCGTCTTGAACATAGTACCTTACGTTTGAACGGTAAGGACTAGGGCTTTCGTATTTCAAATATGTAATCCTTGTGAAAAGAACATTTATTGGATACAAAGAACTTTGACCCTTTGACCTAGACATTGGAGAACACATGTGTACATCTTAACCTTTTTTTCTGTTTCGTTTCTATGGCAACTGTGAACGACTCATTACAATTATTTTAAAAGTAGAAATCACTCTGACACATTGCAAGGAATAAACACTGAAAGTTTCAGAACGATTGCTTGCGTAGTTATTGAGAAAATCGAAATTAAAGAATTTTAACATTCCCCTGGTTTCCATGGCAATAATCGATTATTTGAAAATTTTAAATGCGAAACGCACAACTACAGATACTAATCATTAAAATAAGAAAAGTTTCATGACGAACGTTTAAGGGACCAGAGAGAACACTCGCGGACAAAATTCGTCGCTTTTTACAGGTTTCCATGGCAACGGTAGACATATTGGAACTGAACGACCTCACTGCACATCTACAACCAGTGATCGTCCTTTGAGGAAAGTTTCAGGAAGATTGTCCCAGCCATCTCCGAGAAACAGCCTGGATAAAAAAAACATGCGTACAATATCAATATGTCGTCCCCGACTTCGTTCGGGGCGACATAAATAATAATAATAATAATAATAAGAAACAGAGTAAAAACAATATGTTCCCCAACTTCGTTTGGGGAACATAATAATAAGAAACAGAGTAAAAACAATATGTTCCCAAACTCCGTTTGGGGAACATAATAATAAGAAACAGAGTAAAAACAATATGTTCCCCAACTTCGTTTGGGGAACATAATTAAGTCTGAAATTAGCTTGCAGTGTAGAGAGGGTCCTTAAGATACTTATTACTCAATTAATTATTTTTGTTTTTCATTATGTCCAAAAATTCTCTAAACAGATTATTCTTGTCTTGAGCACGTTGATCACGTTTTTTTTTCCCGTTCCTTATATTCCTCTTTTCTCTGCTTTTCCATTTCCTTTAAGTACTCGAGCAACTTGATACCTGAGTTACTCTCACTATTTATCTTCCTGTTTTCTCGCCTTCTTTTTGCTGTGGTAGATTTACTCAAGGGGGTTTCAGTATTTTCAGCATTCGCATTTTCTCCGCTGTCGCTGTTGATATCTGCTGTATCTGTACTAGATTGGCTGAAAGAGGAAATGTCATTACTAACGGTGGAACTTTCCTCGTCTGTTTGTGAAGGAGTGCAACTAATCATGTTTTTATCTACTTTTGTGCTGAATTTGGTTTCCTTCTGTTTTGGAAATTCTGAAGTAAAAGGAGGGTTGATATCATGGCGTTTTGCTATAATGTTATCGATTTTCTCAAAGTACTGGAAAGTCTTCCTCTTCTGGCCAGTTCGCTTCTTGTTCAAAGACAGATCTTTGTGTGATGCCAGTAGGCTTCTCCATTTCCCTTCAACTTTGCTTTGTACATATTTGTATCCTGCTTCGTTAAGTTCTGCAGTTATCTTCCTCCAGATATCCTTTTTTTTGTTCCGTGGATTTTCTAGTTCTTCTTCGTGTTCCTCATATAGGCTTATTAAAAGCTCTGTGGCATCTCTGGTCCATGAAACTGGCAGACTGTCAACTGTGTTTTCCTCCAGATCACCTATTATGGAAAAAAAATTATGGAAAATTATATTCATGTTCTGAGCCCCACCATCTTTTTCCAGAAGAAATCCAACTGACCAAAATTACACTTTAAGATTGTATTAAACCTTACAAACAAAAGAATTGTATGTATTTTTATTAGTATTATACCCATGAAATAACCAATCACAAAACCAATATTTTTCAAAGCTACCCCTGCCAACTCAACAAGATCGGATAGTGTACATGTACGCTTCTCAAATTCTCATCATGCAGTCAAAGGTCATAAAAGCTAGCAATCAGTATAATTACTATTCTATTAAGTCAATTTTTCATATTTCATTTCTTAAAATACACAAGATGTACATGTATATCTTGTCCAATTAATATCATGGATTTTTCATGATCTAGCACATTCATGAATAACATCTTACTGTTTGAAGCCTCATCTTCAAATTCCAAATTATCCACACTAGTACATGCAAGAGTTTTTTCTTCAATGCATGCAGGCTGTTGTGCAGCTTCTGCCACTCCAGACTCTTCCACATTTTTCCGAATTTGTTGGAGTAATTCTTCATCTATAATATTAAATATTTGTATGCTGTACTTTTTTTGATTAGGCCTAACAAAAAATAAAATCTGAAAGTTAAGCTTACTGTGTGAACTTCATGATTTAAAATTCTTAAAATTAAATTACTCATGTAGACCTTTAATTATATATTTTTCAGAAAGAAAAAAACTCACCTCCATTTTCTAACCTCCTTATTGTGGGGGCGTCCAAAACTTGTATTATCTCTAGCCCATCCACATACTTTAGATGTATTTGATTCCAGTATCTACATAACATTAGAAATGTTAAGTTTTAAAATATTTCCCGGAAACGAAATCGAACGTTGACAAAGGTATTTATATGACATGATATAAAACAGAATTAAAATTAATCGGCTGATACAAATGGGCTTTCATATCCCAACTAAAAATGTGCTAGACCTATTGTAGCCGACTGTGGCCGACTTAGTGACACGTATAAATGAGTACCGTAGAACCTGAGCTATGTGTATACTGCTTATAGATTCTCAGTTTATTGTAAAATGATATATCTCTAACATTATGTAGGGTTTATTAAAAATTAAAATGATTGCAATCGCAAAAATCAGGGAAAAACAAGCAGATTGTGTACTCACGACTTTTTCTCCGCCATATTCAACTCGTCACGTGGTATTACTAATCGCAGTGATATCTGCGATGAGTTTCGTGCTCAACATTTTTTTGTTGCTCATCAGAAAAGTCCAGTCGAATGTAAAAAGATGTCATCAAATTTTTGTTTCTTCACGAAATCAACCAGTCGAATACGCCATATGACTCTATATACATGTATTTGTGTGTACAGATTTTATTTAATGGATATTGTCTATACATGTGTCTACACTATTTAGGATCATTTAATTTGAACTACCTTCTATATATTGGATTCCGAAACTTCATAAAAATCCTTCCAAATAAAAATACATTCCAGGTTCCAGTAAATGTTCAACCAAGCCTCTTTCGTTACCCCTCACTAAGATATTGACAGTAGTGAAGGAAAAACTTCAAGAGTACTGTGCAACTATATATTCTAGAAGTGGTGTGAATCAGATGTGGATACTAAAAAATTCTAAAGAACTTTTGGACAATTTGAAATCACAAGACTTTACAAAAATCAACAGCTTAAAAACTTACGACTTTTCAACTTTATACACAACAATTCCCCACGATAAATTAAAATCGGATAATTTTAATTACAAAAATAAAAATTAAATGGTAATTTATGTCTGTTATAATTTTATCCATAGTATTGTAATCACTTCCTTCTATTTTTGCAATTGTTTGCATCATCATCATAAGTGCTAAAGAATA